AAAATATTCAATTATCTTATTCTATTAATATTTATATCTAAAATTTAAGTTTTGATTAACAAAACATTAGGGAGCATAATATTTGGATGTAGACACTACGTCAGGTTTAGATAAGCAATAGGAAAAGTAGACCCTTATTGGACAAGTTTGCCCTTTTGGACTTATCCATAATTATAATATGTGAGGAGGATTTATGGATTTTATATTACTTTCTTAATTTAAATTATTAAGGACCTACAGTAGGATAGTGGAAGTTAGATGGAAAGATAGACAGTGATACAACTAGAAAAGTACCTTTTAGGTGGAGGACCAAAATTGACTTTTCCATAACCAAAGAGGACTAATCTTTAATTAAATGATTATTAGGTCCAAAGTGAGTGAAAATTAGGTTTTTGGTCTCATTATTCTAACATATTTCCACCTTAATAAACTATTTATTTCAATTATTTGATGGAAAAATGTGAGCATCTAAGTAAAAGGTCGAGGGAATGAATCTAGTTTGGAGGAAGACATGGATAGAAAGCTTCCCTTTTCGAGCTTCCTTTTAAGGTTTTTAAAACTTGTTTGCTTTAGAGAGAGGTTTCCATACTATTATAAAGAATGCTTCTTTTCCCTCCCCAATGGATGTGGGATCTCACAATCCACCCCCTTCGAGGCCTAGCGTCCTCTCTGGTATACTACCCGGTGTCTGGCTCTGATATCATTTGTAACATCCTAAACCCTCCACTGGTAGATATTGTTCTCTTTCGGGATTTCTCTTAAGGTTTTTAAAACGTTTCTTGTCAGGGAGAAGTTTCTACACCCTTATAAAGAATACTTTGTTTCCCTCTCCAACCGATGTGGGGTCTCACAATATGCCCCTTTAGGGGCCAACATCCTCGCTGACACTCGTTCCTCTCTCCAATCGATGTGGGGTCTCACAATCCACCTCCCCTTCGGAGCCTAGTGTCCTCCCTGGCACCCCCACCCAGTATCCGACTCTAATATTATTTATAACCGCTCAAGCCCACCATTAGCTGATATTGTTCTTTTTAAGCTTTTCCTTTCCAGTATCTCTTTAAGGTTTTCAAAATATGTCTCTTGGAGAGAGATTTCCACTAATCCATTCTCCTTTCAAATTGATGTGAGTATCATAATAAGTTCAGGAAATTTAAAATTGATATCAACTTAGGATTGAAATTAATGAAACAGATAGGTGATGATGGAAGTTTTTAGTTGATTGTTAGGAAATAAATGTAGGCATAAATAATAGACAACCATTCATGTATTATGGATTTGTTTATGCAGTTTTATATGAATATAATTTTTATTTTGTAGGAGAATTTATTGATTGAAAAATGGAAGTTGGTAGTTGAATATTATGAATGAATAAATAAATACATATTATATTTATAGAAAACAACTTAAAATCAGTGGCTAAAGGCCCACTGATTGAAACTTGGAAAGAAAAAAAATGGTAGTTTCAGAAGTGGAGAGGGCACAGACAGATTGGTAGGTTATCAACTACGTCGGCAAGAAAATACAAAATTTGAATCAAACAAATTGATCATTTCATTTTGAATGTTCAGACTTCAAGTTGTTTTTAAAATTTGTGTTTTTATTTAGATCGATAATGAAGTTTGATTAGTTGCTTCCTTGGTTGTTGTATGCATCTGGAAAATGAGACGGAATAAAACAATTAATCTTTCTGTATCAATTATATCTTCCACCTAATTTTCTCGTTTCTTATATTTTAATTCTCGAACTTTTTGTCTGTTCATATTTATTGGATCATTCAACTTTCTTGAACTTCTCATCTGTTCATATCTATTCAATAAATCTTTAAATCTTTGTTTTTATCTACTAGATACCAAATTGAAAGTCTAGAGTTTGACTAATAGATTCATTAGTTCTTACAAGAGTCCAAGCCCTCTACTGCTAGTAGATATTGTCTGCTTTAACCCGTTACATATTGTCGTCAATCTCATGGTTTTAAAACGGTCTACTAGAGAGAATGTAGAAACCTCGTTCTAGCAGATGCGTTTTAAAATCGTGAGGTTGACGGCGATACATAACAAATCAAAACGGATAATATCTATTAGAAGTAGTAGGTTACTAGCCTAGATTTGAATTTAAATATGAAGTCGGATTGATTGATGAGTGAAGCTAACTTGAAATAAAATATACAGAAACGGGTGAGTTTCTTAGCGATGGATGAAGGAGAAATTGGTTTAGCTGTAGCACCCAATCACTAGCACACCCAAAGTTTTGGATTAAGAGAAGAAGATGAAGATGAAGATGAAGCAGAGCATGTGGCAAGTATATGTATGTGTTGTTTTTAGAGCTTCCTTCATTCTCTTACATCAAAAAAGAGTACAAATTTGATAGACTCAGAGTCTGCTCAGATTAGGGATGTTAATTACTCTAATATATATATATATATATAGATTTGTATATAAAATGAATTATATCTGTTTGATTTGGGTGTGGGGATCACATCTCTATCATCAAATTTGGTAATGGCATATCATAATTTCTCATAAATTTGGGAACGTGTGGGTTACCTACTCTCAACTTGGGATTCTTGTGGTTTCGGAGAATCCAGCTACATGAGAACTAGGAGCAAAGAGTTTTCTCCCTGTTTTCTGCCTGCCTCTTTAGTCGTAAGAATGTTGGTTTTAAGAATCCCTCGACCCATAGAATTCCATAGACTTCTTTTAAGAATTCCAATCTCGAAAAAGAATTGATATCTTGGACTTGTGATGTATCAATTATCATTTTAACGATCAACTTCTTCCATAATGATATCTATGCTACCTAGTATTGTCATAATATCAGCCAATTTCATTCTTTTAACTAACTGAGGAAGAATTTGCAAATTGATAAAACCGGGCGGGCGAATTTTCCATCTCCAAGGAAAACCACCCTGATCCCCTATCAAAAAAATGCCCAATTCCCCTTTTGGGGCTTCGACTCTCACATAAACGACTCTACTACTACTCAAATCTCTCTACGTAGGATTACCAATCGGTTAACAACAAACGACTCTACTACTGAGCTACTGATAAACAACGGTATATTAGATCTCAGAGAATTCAATTCTCGTTCTCAATCCATGACCAATATGAACTCGAAGTTTCTTTTATAACTCTAAAAAAAAAATTTTGTTGTGGCTTCCTCATTTTGCGTCTCATTTTATAGCGAACTACAAAATTGATCAAATAAATAAATGGATTGACTATCTACCATCAGAATTTGTTATTTTAAAAAATAAAATCAGGATGTTTTGGACTTAAGATTAGTCCTTACATCAAGATTCCAAACGCCATATATAATAAGTCTATTAACTTTTAATTTTGTTTTTAACGGGGGGGATTGAATTTTAAAATAATTTTAATAAATCTATAACTCTTTTGTTTATCCCTAATTAATATATCATATTAGGTTGTTCGGTTCAAGTTCAAGTACTTTAAAATAATATAGACTAGGTCTCAGATTATTTTTAAGATTCATTAAGCCTGTACGGATGATTTCATGTTCTCTTTTCTAAATAAAAAAAAAAAAAGAAAAGAAAAAAGATCATGTCCTCGATATTCCATAGAATGACCCATTATTCTCTTTAAGAAAAATTTTCTGACTTTCTTAGCGTGTTCTCAAATTATCCTCAGATTAATCCATTCTATCCACTGCCACCTACGTAAAGTTGTAAGTTTTCTTGAAGTTTTAATTGAATCAAGGTAGAATTTAGATTATCCTTTTATGAGAGTGGTTATACAAATTCCCACAATTGAGTAGCATGAGTCCTTTCGAACGTTTTCGAACGTTTGCAAGTTGATCTAGATATGAGAAAAAGATTTAGAAATATTATGAGTTTGAGGTGGCTATTGAAATTTGAATAAAGGGAGGAGGTGCGTATGGGACAAGTAAACACTTTAATTTAAGGTATTAATTTCTTTGAATGAAAGCAACAATCCCATATTAATCCCACCTTAAGTGCTTATCAATTCCTTGCTTCATCAAACAACCAATTCCTTCCCAATTTCAACGTTTCAAACAAAGGATTAAGATTGAACGCTTTAATCTGATACGTATCATCGTTAGCTTCATAATTTTTAAAACGTGAAAAATATCATTATATAGAATGCTTTGTTCGTCTCACCAACCAATGTGGAATCTCACAATCCACCTGTCTTAAGGCTCAACTTCCTCACTGGCATACTGCTCGGTATCTAGCTCTGATACTATTTGTAATTAGCTCAAGTCCACCACTAGTAGATATTGTTCATTTTAGTCCGTTACATATCGTCATCAGCTTCACAGTTTTAAAACGCGTCAATTATGAAGAGAGTCTAGCTCTACCCCAATCAGTGACTGACTCTAATACCATTTATAACAGCTCAAACCCACCGCTAACAGATATTGTCTACTTTGGTCTGTTATCTGTTGTCGTCAGCTTCATTTTAAAAAACACATCTAGTAGAGAGAAGTTTTTATGCCCTTGTAAAGAATGACGTATTAAATATATATATATATTTTTTTTAATTCAAAGTTTCAAATTTTTATTAAAGGCGTATCTCTGTTAGCCTCACAATTTTAAATTATGTTTGTTAGGAAGAAATTCACACTCATTATAAAGAATGGTTCGTTTACCTCTGCAACTAACGTAAGATCTTACAATCTACTTGTCTTAAGGGTACAGCGTCATCGTTAACACACTACTCGGTGTCTAACTCTGATATCATTTGTAACAACTTAAGCTCACCACTAATAGATACTATATCTTTTAGCCCGTTACATTTTGATACTATCGTAAGGATCGGGAACTTTCACTTGCACACTCCTAACGAGTGTGATATCGTACTAATATTGTAAATATTACGATATTGCCCCGACCCTCAAAAAATACATTGAGAAAAACATATATTTTCATATTTTAAAAAATTAAAACATCAATTAATTTATAATTTAGTAACTGTTGCTTAAAGCCACACTCTCCCCTTTATCTTCCTCTTAAATTTCACTTCCATTTCTCTCCTTCTCTCTCACCTCTCCACTCTCTCTCTTCAATTTTCAATTCTTCTTCCTCATGGATTATTATTGTACCTCTCCCGCCACCAGCTACCCCCACCCCCACCACCACCACCACCGGTCCACCGACACCGCCACTCTGTCTCCTGAGGTCGCCGTCCACAAGGCGCTCCTCCTCGTCCAATCCGACTCCCCCGATTCCAAGTTCCAAGGCGCCTGCGAAATTCGCCGCCTCACCAAAACTTCCCAACGCTGCCGCCGCCATCTCTCTGAATCAATCCCTCATCTCGTCTCCATGCTCCACCGTCCTCACTCCCCTGAGTCCCACCTTGAAGCTGCTCTCCTCGCCCTTCTCAATCTCGCCGTCAAAGACGAAAAGTAAATTCCTCTTAGATCTGTTTGCCTTCCTTATGCCCTGATTTCCGTTTCTTCTTTTGATGCTTTCTGGAATTTTTCATTAACTTGCTTCCTTATGTTTATTTTGATTAATTAATTAATTGGATTAGTTAACGCTTTCCGAATTTTTTATGAACTCTGCGATTGTCTTTAGAGACTTTCTTCTTTATTCCTTTCCCTCCCTTTGTGCTTTATTTTTTTTTTTTTTTACTTTTCTGCTTCTTACGTGTTTGGCCAGTGAGGATATGCGAACGAAAATCTATTAAGAAATTTAAATAAATTTGTTCGTTGGCCAATTGGATGGCAATATCTTTCTTGGATGGATGCCTTTAACAGAACGATTATGTTTTTAATTCATAAAGAATTTGCGAGTTTATGTTTTTAATTCTTTGTCATGTTGAGCTTCGTTTGTTGTTTTCTTTGGCTTTTGTTGTTGGAGGCTTCCCCACCTCCCTTTTTTTAGTTTGGTTGGCATGCCACGCGGTAGTTGGGGTCTTTGATTACCCAAATTTGGCTACCTTAGAAATAAAAAATGTGTTTCTTTTGTCTGTTTTCTTTTTCAAATAGAATTGCCCAGATATTTTCTTTGATGTGGGATGATGTTGATCATCTGTTTCTATGAGATTCCACATTGGTTAAGGAGAAGAACGAAGAACGAAACATTCTTTATAAGGGTGTAGGAACCTCTCCCTTAGCAGACATGTTTTAAAAACTTTGAGAGAAAGCCCGAAGATGATATCGGCTAGCGGTGGGTTTGTGTTTGAAGACATAGCAGTTGAAGGGTTTTGTAGGAAAGATCATGAACAGATGGCTTTAGTCTTTCTAAATGGAAATTCGTTTTATTTTCCCCTTAAAACTGGTTTGATTCTCTGTCATTACTGGTTTATCTCGCTTGTCTATTACAAGTTCCTCCCTTCCCCATTGAATTATTCTTGCTATCTAAATTGAGTGGCCTACATGTCACACACTAACCAAACATACACGAGAGTCCATGTCGGCAGTGGCAGCTCCTCTGTCACATGTGTCTGAATAAGCACATATGTGGATTTTGTCTGGTAAACGTGACATATTAAGCTCGCCCCTGTGTTGAAGGATTGTTGAGAGAGGAATCCCACATCAGCTAAGTAAGGAATACATCTCCATTGGTGTGAGGTCTTTTGGGAAAACCAAAAGCAAAACCACGTGAGCTTATGCTTAAGGTGGACAATATCATACCACTGTGGAGAGCTATGGTTCCTAACACCTTGTTCTTTCTTTCTTCCTCATACATGACTTTCACATGGTCACGTGCCCTGTCTTGTATCTTCTAGCACATGGGATTTATCAGTGGCTTTGAATTCCTAACAACAATCTTGTTATGATGCCTACTTCTTTTAGTTTGTTGCTGATAGGTATCTGGTAATTGATTCTATGTGTTATTCTGACTAGTAGTACCAAGCTAAGAGGCTGCTTCCTTCATATATTAATTTCTTGCATTATTCCTACAGGAATAAAATCAAAATTGTAGAAGCTGGTGCCTTGGGACCAATAGTTGGTTTCTTTCAATCAGAGAGTTTGATCTTACAGGAGAATGCAACTGCATCCTTGCTTACTCTATCTGCTTCTACCGTCAATAAGCCATTAATAAGTGCTGCTGGTGCAATTCCCCTTCTAGTAGAGATTCTTAGATGTGGAAGCCCACAAGCAAGGGCAGATGCTGTAATGGCTCTTTCCAATCTTTCGACGCTTCCACGTAATCTTAGCATCATTCTCGATTCGAAGCCGATCCCTTCAATAGTTAGTCTGCTGAAAACTTGTAAAAAATCTTCAAAAACAGCAGAGAAGTGCTGCTCACTGATTGAATCCTTAGTTGGTTTTGATGAAGGTAGAATAGCTTTGATATCTGAAGAAGGTGGAGTTCTTGCAGTTGTTGAAGTGCTTGAGAATGGCTCGCTTCAAAGTCGTGATCACGCTGTCGGTGCACTATTGACGATGTGTGAGAGCGACCGGTGTAAATACAGAGAGCCTATCTTAGGAGAAGGAGTAATCCCTGGCCTTCTTGAACTCACTGTCCAAGGAACACCTAAATCTCAGTCAAAGGCTAAAACACTATTGAGACTACTAAGGGACTCTCCGTATCCACGATCCGAGCTTCAACCTGACACGATTGAGAACATTGTTTGCAACATCATCTCTCAGATAGATGGAGATGACGATCAATCGAGTAAAGCGAAGAAGATGCTGGCAGAGATGGTGCAAGTAAGTATGGAGCAGAGTTTGAGGCATTTACAACGAAGGGCTCTGGTATGCACGCCTACTGATATGCCTATTAATACATGCACCTCTGAAGTTTCTTCCAAGTAACAAAATTTGTTCTTATCATGGAGTTTGTAAGATAAAACTTCGATAGTTGTTACTGTTAGAAAACAGGAAATGAAAATAAGATTTAGGAAAGCAAGCCAGTCCAGGCAGGTTGTGTGAGTGTCGGGAGACTGGTAAATGTCAATAAAACTGGGAATTGAATCTGTATGAGGTTGAGATCATAGTTCTTGCTTGTTCTGTAAAGAAACTGTTGTATTACAGTATAGAAATAGTGAAGTTTAGAAGTGTTCATTTTCCTTCTGATCCTGAATTGCCCATCTTCTTTTACTATTCTATTCTAGTGAGATTATTGTGAGAACGGAATATATATTCTTCACAAGAATGTAGAAATCTCTCATTAACATACAAATTTTAAAACCTTTAAGAGGAAGCGTGGAAGAGAAAGTCCAAAGAGGACAATATCTACTAGCGGTTAGTTTGGACTGTTACAAATGGTATCAGAGCTAGACACTAGATAATATGCCAGCCAGGAGGCTGAACTCCAAAAGGAGGTGCACAATGAGCAGTGTGCCAGTGAGGATGTTGGGCCCCAAAGAGGATGGATTAGAGGGTCATATATTGATTGAAGAGAGGAATTGAGTGCTAGCAAGAACTTAGAGCTTAGAAGGAGGTGGATCAATCTAACTCAAAGGATATTAAATTCTAAGTAGGTGACCATCACTGCTTTAGCCGATTACCTTCAAAGTTTTTTAAAGGTTATTTCTTATCATTCAGTCAATTTATGGTATTTTGAAATATTGGAATAGTATGTCAACTCGAGTATAGTTTAGATAGTTGTTAGAAACTGATATTTTTGGTCAGGATTGTCGTATGAGTTTGTATGAATTATTAGTATAGATGTAGCTCCATGTGCATGCTTAGCATAAAGCCTGAGTACTCAATGATCACAAAGCAAAAGAAAGCAAATGAAGAAAGAAGGAAAAGGAAATTGAGAATATGTACTTTCCTTGAGTTACAAGTGATTTTAGTGCAACACTCTTGCCTTGGATCCCTTTTCTATCCAAATCTTATTGGAAGGCAAAAGAAAGAAAATGATCTTCGATTGTCTATTATATGCATACACGTGTTCAAAAGCAAAAGTCTGCATCACATTTTTAACCTCATTGACTAAAAAGTCAAAATGATTGACGAATAAACACGTAGTTATTGAATGATTCCGATGTAAACCATTTAGGAGAAATATGAAGCAATCATCGGTTTCCAAATGATACATTTAATAATTTCTTTCAGAGTATGAATCGTGATTATTTCTAGTTGTTTCCTTTTAGAACGAGGTAAGAACACTAAAACAAAGAGCGTGTTGGAAGAATATTGTCATCCCCAGATAGAGAGCAAAATATGGATTGAGAAGTGGACCAAGAATTTCGAGGGAGAAGGGATGAAAGAAGAAATGCCAAAATTTAAACATGTTATTATAAAAATTACTTTAATTATGAGAAGCTATTAAAGAACCTAGTAAAAGTTGTAAAGTTTGGATAAGACGTATAGATTAAGTAGCGATCATGTGATACTCAAGTAGATGAGCGGTACTTTAAGAGAATTAATAGTCATTACCTATACTAACCGGGATACCTTTCTTTTTTGGTGACTTAATCATATAAACTTCAAAATTAAACATTCTTGTGTTGGGTGAACTCTATGTATTTTTTCAAAAAAATATGTGAATGAGGCAAAAAAAAAAAAAAAAAAAAAAAAAAAAATTGTTCACTTTGACCCATTACGTATCGTTGTCAGTCTTATAGTTTTAAAACACGTCTACTACAGAGAGGTTTTCACACCTTTATAAGGAATGTATTGTTCCTGTTTCCAACCGACGTGGAATCTCTCAATCCATCCTCCTTTAGGAACTAGTGTTGCACACTACTCGGTGGGTGTCTGGATCTAATACTATTTGTAACAACTCAAGCCCACCGCTAACAAATATTGTCTGTTTTGACCCGTTACATATATAGCGGTTGTTACTGAGAGGTTTCTACACCCTAAAAAAGAATGTTTTATTTCTCCTTTTAAAAAGTTCGATTCTAAATGTGATTAAAATACTTAAAAGTTGACACGTATGCATGGTTAAAAAAAAAAAAAAAAAAAAAAAAAAAAACTTTAAAGTTGTCTACTTTTGGTGAGTGATTACAAGACAACCAAACCAAACCAATCATTGCATCAATTCTCTTCCCCACCAAGCAATGTTTTCCCTTCTCATTCAATAAAACTATTTATTTATTATTATTATTTTATTTTTTCTATTCAAAAACTTAAATAAGAAGTTAATTCTCAACCTCAATGGAAAAGTAGATGAAATACTAAGTTCATAGATTTTCTTTTTCAAAAAAATTATTTTAAAAAAATAATAATAATAAAATAAAAAACTAGCGGAAGAGAGAAGTCAGAGAAAAATGAGTAAAGCTGCTCGACTCATAGGGAGAGAGGTGCTAACCTATTTTTTTTTCGTATCTTTCTGGGTGGGACAAAGAGAAAGAAAAAACGAGAGGGCAGTTTATGCATGGTACTTCTTGATCGTGTCTCTAAGAGATAGTTGAATGAATGACTTAGAAATGTTGTCGGATTGGACAAACCAATAACCCGAACGCCGGGCAAGAATTATATGGTTAGAAAGAAAATTTCACGTTTGTCTCTCTTATGGCCTCCATGAAACTATGGTTCATTGAGCTCATGGACCTAGATCAAATACTTTCTTATAACCATTGGGCCTGGACCAATATTTTGGTCGGCCCATATTCATAATACGACCCACCGCTAGTAAATATTATTCGCTTTAGTTAGTTACATATCATTATTAGTATCATGATTTTTAAACGTGTTTACTAAGGAGACATTTTCACACTTTTATAAGGACTGCTCCGTTCCCCTCTCCAACTGATGTAAATATTTCACTATTCACTCCCTTTAGGGGCCAGCGTCCTCGTTGGCATATCTAATATCATTTGTAATAGCTCAAGTCCACTACTAATAGTTATTGTTTATCAGCCTCACAATTTTTAAACATGTCTACTAGAGAGGTTTTCACATCCTTACAAGAAATGTTTCGTTCCATTCTCCAACCGGTGTGGAATTTCACAAACAATACAAAATTCGAACTTTTGAGTTCTAGATTAAGAATAAATTAGTGAATATTTATAGTTTAAATTAAAATATTATGAAGGGCATGATTCATGAAACGTTGCATGTGATTATATTTATGTCCTTAGTAATCACAAAAAATTAAAAATTTAAAAAATAAAAACAAAAAAGAATGAAACAAGTGAAATTGTTGAAGTGATGAAAGGAAATAATCTTAGCATATACATATTAATTTAATTCATACACAATCCTTTGACAACCCTATTAACTAGATTTTATTTATTTATTTATTTATGGTTTTGAACGTGTAGCAACTTAAATGAATTGCTAGTAGATATTGTTTATTTTGGACCGTTACGTATAGCTGTCAACCTCACGGTTTTAAAACACGTCTATTAGGGAGAGGATTCCACATCCTTTAACACTTCGCTCTCATCTCCAATTAATGTGGAATCTCGCAGAAAAACTTCCGATCTTATTCTATAGTTTAAAGATTGATTCAAGTCAATGAAGGAGCGTCCTTATGCATACGTGGAATAGGTTGGAACCATTCAATAAATGAATAAAAATATTATTTTTTTTTCATAGAAAACCAGACGAATAATTAAAGTTAATATTATAATCGACGTATTAAATTTCTCGAATATGTTAGTTATTTTATTAATATTTTTACATGTTCATGTCTTCGATATTTAATATAGAGAATAAATCGATATTTTTATTAGAAACACGAACAAAATATCACTAGTGTAGTGTAAGTATAATATAATTATTATTTTTTTTTCCTTTATTATTCTCCCACGAAAAGAAAGACAATTATTCAACGTAAACATTAAATTAAAAATAAATATGTATTTGTTCCTCAAATATTTATTTCGATAAAAAAATGATGTAATTATAATATGAAAAATATAGCTAAAATTATAATATTTTCCTAAAAAAGATAAAACTGAAAAATATGAAAAAAAAAAAAAAAAAACAAGCTTAATTTCTGAAAAAATATTTTAGAAATATTTGAATGGCAAAAAAATATAATTATCATAATTAAAACTCAAAGTTTGTGGAGGTGACAACATGCTAGTTGAATTAATGTTATTATTCTTCATGAACGTCCATGCAACAACTCGTATCACGTTACTTACTTCTCGCTTCTAAGAGTGAAGACTATCTCTACAAAGCAACACGAGTTCTTCCAACATGTTTTGTCTTCACTCACATGTGCTTCTAAGAGTGAAAACTATCTCCACAAACCAACACTAATTCTTCCAACATGTTTTGTTCTGACCCAGGAGATCACCCAATGTAGAATTACTTCGAGTAAAGCTCACTTGATTGTTCATATGATTGAGCTACAAAAAACAAAGCGGCACTTTATTGATATAGATAGAGTTGATTGTTCTCTTTTTTACGATTAGGTCAACTCATCCTCAAGATGGTTGATGGGTTAACATTTGTTCGACTAGAAAAACACGAAATTGTTAAGAATCAGCCAATATTGTTACTCGATTATCATAATTAAAGACGAACACAGACATATGTAGAAGAATATAGTATTGGGAAGCTGAGAAAAGTCGCCTTAAACATCCAACACAATTGGCAGCTGCGCTGAATAGCTATTATTTTTTAGGGTTTGTTTATGGGGAATGGATTGTGCGATATGTGTGGGATTAGGCCATGTGAGTAAGCATGTGATGGTTTAAGACTAAAGTGCTTTTATTAGGTGCATGGGGACAGCTCTAATGGACCAATCAACCCCTTCTTTTCAAAGTCAAAACCATCTGTCTTTTGGATCCTCCCTTTGGCTACCTCCTCCCACCATTTCTCTGCCTGCATGCATGCGTTTAATGACCCAAATATGTGTATGGGTGTTTAAACAAAGGCTCATGCATGTTCCTCGCTTCTTTATGAGTGGTCTACCACTCATTACTCACGTCTTCTTCTTACAAACCCTATCGATTGGGACGGAATTAATATCATTAATACATAGTCACATGCCCACTAGCTTTCACCTTAGTTTGTTCTTGAATTGCATCTTATTAAGAGAGGTTTGACTCTGATATCATTTGTAACAACTCATGTCTAAGATTTGAATCAATACCCAAAATTTAGATTCGACACTTGATGGCTCTGACATTCTCCTACTACATGATCACGTTACTTACTCCTTGCTTTTAAGAGTGAAAACTATCTCCACTAACTAACAAAAATCCTTTCGGTCGTGCTTTGTCTTCACTGATATACTTCCTAGGAAAATTCTCAAGAGATCACCCAACATAGAATTATTCCAAGTAAAACACGTTTAAGTTTGAAATTCTTGTGATGATCACTCTCATTCGGATGTGGTCTCAGTTCAATCATGTTACTCTTCTCTTACTCGGATATCATACAACCGAAGGAGTTAACGCCGATTTAAAAGTAACAAAGGGATAGGGGACCATACTTCTATCTTGAAAGTTCTTATTTAAGTCGGTTGCAATGGTTTCACCAATCGACCACAAATTGTAATATTCTTTAGGTATTAGAAGGGTAAAGGTGTATGGAAAGAGGAGAGGTTTTCACACCCCAGCTCAAATTCATCACTAACAAATATTGTCCGCTTTGACCCATTACGTATCGTCGTCAATCTCACGATTTTAAAACACGTCTATTAGGGAGAGATTTCCACACCCTTATAAGAGATGCATTGTCCACTTTAACCCGTTATGCATCACCGTCAATCTCACAATTTTAAAATGTGTCTACACGGAAGAGATTTCCACACCTTTATAAGGAATGACTTCGTGTGTGATCTCACCATCCACCCCCTTTGAAGGTCAACGTCCTCGCTAGAAAATCGCCGGTATCCAACTATAGTTTGTAACAACCTAACCCACCGCTAACAGATATTGTCCGCTTTGACCCTTTACGTATCGTCGTTAGTATCATAGTTTTAAAATGTGTCTATTAGGGAGAGTTTTCCACACCCTTATAATAAATGTTTCGTTCCCCTCTCCAAATGATGTGGGATCTCACTTGATATATTCTTCGCTACCACTCAAGTTATTCCAAATACACTTAGTCTTAAGCTAAGCATATTTCTTCCAAGTCTATATTATTGTTTTTGTCCATACAACAAAAATTTAGTACCCTAACCCTAATCTATCTTTTAAAATTTTTGGATTCCATAGTATAAAGTCCAACGTCTATATATATATATATATCTTCGAATCATTCATCCATATATTTTAATACATTATTACCAACATCAACATCATCGTTATCATTTCAATTAGTCGATCGACAGCGAATATGAACAAAAATATCATACATTCATAAAAATATTCATATACAAACTAAGTCAAAAATAAACACACGATGTTGAGAAATGAAATGGGATTCCACCGCCACACCAATCACATCTTAAAAATAACCCACAAATAAGAACCACACCAGCTCAGCTAGTAATGCCAACTTAAAACTTCACATCTTCAACTCCTAAAATATGGGTCCATGATTAAAATAAGGTTAGAATCCACGTGCTAGCTTGACTGTGAGAGAGCTGAGGGGAAGCACACAGGAAAGTGCTTATTGTTGGTTCCTCAGATCGATCAGTTTTAGGGTCTAAAATGGTGACCACAGGAATCTGAAAGACGTGGGGTTGGCGACACATCCGCCGAGCCTTTCTCGCCTCTGCCAGCTGCTCCATCCCAACACATAACCCATTAAATTATGGCTTTCAACTCATACCATCCACATTCTACCCAACCCCTTTTTTTTTATTGAAAGTCATTCATCTCTTTCCCCATGTTAATTGATTATGGATGTGAGTATAGGAGGATAAACATTTCGTCCACTAATGATTATTGTCCGTTTTGGCTTGTTGTTTATTGTTGTTAGTCTCAGAGTTTTAAAACGTGTGAAAAAATAAGGAATGCTTCGTTCCTCTCTCTAAGTGAGGTGAGATCTCATAATCCACCAATTTGAAGTCAGTGTCCTCGCTAGCACACCGCTTTGTAACTGACTCTGATACCATTTGTAATAACCAAACCCAACACTAGCAAATATTGTCTTTTTTGGCTCGGTACGTATCATTAGCCTTACGATTTTAAAACACGTGACAAAAATAAGAAATCCACCACCCTTCTCAGTGTCCTCACTGGCACATCGCCAAGTGACTGGCTCTGATATCATTTGTAACAACTCAAGTTCACCGCTACAAATATTGTCCATCTTGGCGCGTTACGTTTCGCCATTAGCCTCACGATTTTACAACACGTGAAAAAAAAAAAAGAATTCATCTCTTTCGAAGCCAGCATTCTCATTGGCAAACCTCCTGGTGACGGACTATGATACCATTTGTAACAACCTAAGCTCACCGCTAACAAATATTATTCATTTTGGTCCATTACGTATATATAGTCGTTAGCTTCACGATTTTAAAATATATCTACTAGGGACATGTCTTCACACCTTTATAAGGAATGTTTCGTTTCCCTCTCTAACTAATAAGATCTCATACTTCTAATCAGTTAAGTTCACTAAAAAAAAAATGGTTTTTTTTAAGATGATCTTCCCAAAAACAAATAATAATAATAATAGAGGGTTATAATTGAAAACAAGTCAACAATGAGAAGGGAATTTTTTATATAATATAAAAACATAATTGGATTAATTAGAACCCCTACAAATAGGGTCAAGAAAGTACGACGGTTGTGTATCCTTTCGAGTACTTTTAAAGCACTCTTCAAGACTCTCTCTTTTCTCTGCCTCTCTCAATGGCACTTGCAAACTCATCTGTACATGAAGCCGATGGCATGGACAAAGCTGGTGGATATATCAAGTCTTTACCCATTGCTACCCATGACACTCCAAATGCTACCTTTCTCTTCCGAAACACCACGAATTACCAACTCGATCACCATCAGCAGCAGCAGCAGCAACTGCCTCAGTCTCTCATCAACTTCAAGTGTGGGATTGACAATATCTTCCATAAGAACAATGAATCTTTGCTGAGCTTTGAGCCACAAGGGGTTTGTCAAGACACTTACAATTGGGATGATCACCAGCGTTTGATGGAAGATCCCAATTGCTTTCAAACAGCTACCAATGGTTATAGCTCTCCAAAAGAGAACAAAAATGGTGACGGGTCTGTGTATGATTGGCTTTACTCTGAAGCAACTGGTGTTTCTGATGGCATTCAGGAAGCTGAAGGAGCTCACGAGATTGCCAATCAAAAGCGACCTCATATGGTATTGAATTCCAAAGTTTTCAATTGTTGTTTTCTTACCTTCTCTTTGCCATAAGTTATAAATTTTTTTTTCGTTTTTGTTGAGAAAATATGAGATCTCGTCTCGATTGGGGAGGAGAACAAAACATTTTTTATAAGCGTGTGAAAATCTCTCCTTAGTAGACAGCGTTTTAAAAACCTTGAAGAAAAGCCCGAAAAGTAAAATTAAAGAAGATAATATCTACTAGCGGTGGGCTTGAGCCGTTACAATGATATCAGAGCCAGACAACGGACGACGAGCCAATGAGGAGGTTAAGCTCCAAAGAGGGTTAGACAAGAAACATTTTTGATAAAGATGTAGAAACCTCTCACTAAAATTTTAAAGAAAGACAAAAAATGACAGACTTAGGTTGTTAACGAAACACATTTGAATACTTAGCTAAATTACTTAGTTTTTTTATTTTGAAAGTTAGCTTAGAAGAAGTGTTTGATTGATTGATTGACAGGGAGAGAGCAGTGGGAGTGTTAGTAAGAAGCAATGCACAGCAGCTGCAGCTAAGAAGCAGAAACCCAAATCATCAACAGCGAAGGATCCACAGAGCATTGCAGCCAAGGTTTTAGTTTTGTTTTTTTCGACAACGTTTGCTTACAATTTAAGGAACAAATAATTTTAAGGTTCTGAAAGAATGTCTGCTTTTGTCTTTGTTTTCATGTTTCTTAGAATCGACGAGAGAGGATTAGCGAGCGGCTGAAGATACTTCAAGAATTGGTTCCCAATGGCTCCAAGGTACTTGCTCTTATCTAATATTAAAAACATGTTCATATCTCAATACGCCTCCTTCAAATAAAAACATATCTTCCTCTTAACTAGCCAGTGTTCATCTTAAATAGTCATTTATTCGTCTAGCACTATCCAGTGTTAGCTCCTTTTCGTCAATCTAATAGATCTCCTCTATGCATCTTCTCTATGAACACACCGTCAAGGCTCACATGTCTATTTATTTGACACTCACTCAAGAATTCTATGTGACATCCTACATCAGGTTGTAGAGAGAAACGAAACATTTTTTTTATAAGGGTACAAATATCTCTAAACCCAAAAAGGATAATATCTGCCGACGGTGGGCTTAGGCTGTTATATTCTAATACTAAGTTATGGGTATGATTCTAATAGGACAAGCAATCTCCACAACGACCTGATAAATGACCTGATATTGTACACGTTGAGCATAAGCTCTTGTGATTTTGTTTTTTGGTTACCCAAAATGTTTTGTTCGAATAAACAGTGTCCCTAACTTCTATATCTATGATCTTTCTCGTGAAACGCTAATAATTTGTAGTTGTTTGCAGGTTGATTTGGTAACAATGTTGGAAAAGGCAATTAGTTATGTAAAATTTCTTCAACTACAAGTGAAGGTACAAATTCCATATCACTCTGTTTCCAAATTTTGGATAAAGATCCTTCCTTGTTGGCGTTGGCTCTGATATCATAGTAAAAATTTTGAATATCAGATCCTAGCTACAGATGAGTTTTGGCCAGTTCAAGGTGGGAAAGCTCCTGATATATCCCAAGTTAAGGAAGCCATTGATGCTATTCTTTCATCTCAAAGAGAAAGAAGTTCAAGCTCAAACAGTCAAAAGTGATGGAATCAGTACACAATTTGTATGATAACAATTTAGAGCTCTCAATAATTCAAACCCATGAATCAATAAACCATTCTGATAAAGAAATGACAAAAAAAACGACAAGATTTGGATCAGAAATTAATGGTGTTCCTTAAAAAAATGAAGCTGGAAATGTTGTTCTACCCAGTTATGAACTACTCAATGAAGGCCTCACTTGGAGATCTGTTTTAAAAAATTTTGTTTTTAGAGGAGAATCTACCAGCAAATCATATGTATATATTCTGCAGAATTTCATACAGGCAATTAAATTAACATAATTAAGTCTGTAATGATCTACAAATAATTAATGCACAGATTTGGAAGATTTAGGATCTTCTCCATTAATAATTATATTAAAAGAAAAATGACAGATTATACAAATAAACTTATTAGATACATGGTGTTCTTGTAAACATCGATAAATTAAAATAAAATAAAAATGCATACGGTTGGATTTCCAATTTTTTGCTCAAGAACATATTATTTTTTATAAAAAAAAAAAAAGTTTGGTTCCTAATTTTCATAAAAGTTTTCTAAACTTTATTTTCGTAATATTGTAGCCCTTCAAGTATAGGATATGAAAATTTAGTCTCTAAACCTTTAAATTTGTAGTAATTTAATTCATACAAGATTATACATTGATTTGTGTTAGTTAATGATTTAGATTTCATAGCTTAGAAACATCTCTTTAAATAAATATCTCTTTGTATGATTAGATATCTTCTAAAAAAAATGATTCTAGGTGAGAAGGGTAGAAAAAAATACCTCGAGTCAATATTCGAGTACTGAATGCTACATGCTAAAGTGATCCATGTCATACTCCCAAGAAAAGCTTAAACGACCTTCAGCAAAAGGGGACCTGTATTGTGAGATCCCACATCAATTGGAAAGAGAATGAATGTCAGCTAGAACACTGTGCCTCGAATGGGGTAGGATTGTGAAATCCCATATCGATTGGACAGGAGAATGAAACATTCTTTATAAGGGTATGGAAACCTCCCCTCTAACACGCATTTTAAAAACCTTAAGAGGAAAGAAACGTCCAAAGAAGACAACATCTACTAACAGTGAGCTTGGACTTTTACAGTACCTATACCCGAAACTGATACAAACGAATAGGTAGAGAATACCTTGAGAATTAGTTAATTGATCCACTCATATAAAAGATTTCATTCAGTCTTAACCATAAACTGTGAAGTTGAAGAGAATCCACTATAAACTGTGAACAAAGGTCAGCATGAACCATCCCAATTATGTGTTGACATTTTGCACACTGAAGAGCAGTTAAGTTGTCATTCTATGACGAGCACCTAACAATAAGTTAGTAAGTGAATTAATGATGGTGCACATGTACCACCTACTATTGAGAATTATTAGGAGGGGAGTCCCACATTGATTAATAAGAGGATAATCATGGATTTATAAGGAATATATCTCCGTTTGTTAGGATGAGAGTTTATGCTCAAAGTGAACAATATCATACCATCGTGAAGAGCCATAATTTCCAACATGGTATCAAAGTCGTGCTCTTAACTTAGTCATGCCAATAGAATCCTTCAGTGTCAAACAAAGAAATTGTGAGCCTCGAAAGTATCATAAAAGGTGACTCAAGTGTCAAACAAATGATGTACTTCGTTCGAGGACTCTAGAGAAAGAGTCGAGCATCAATTGAGAAGAGACTATTCGAGAACTTCAAAAAAGGAGGCCTCATGGAAGGCTCTATGGTACTTTGTTCGAGGAAATGATTGTTGATAATTATTCATAGTAGTCCCCGTTGAATAATTATAAGGAAGATCATGGGTTTATAAGTAAAGAATACATCTCCATTGATATGAGGTCTTTTGAGGAAACCAAAAGCAAAGTCATTGAAGCTTATGCACAAAGTGGACAATATCATACCATTGTGAAGGTCCGTGATTCCTAACACCTATCATACTAGATGATGACATCAAGGCTAGCGTACGAAAAGAGCACAAACAACGAAAAAAGAAGCCAGCCCACATCAAAAGAAGCAAAAACAAAAGAGCCAGTTAACAATTAAGAACACCCAGGATAATTGCAGAACTCCTTGCAAGCAAAGTCCACTACTCATACCTACCCCAAGCCTCTCAACATCACATCTCTAAATGAGCTGATTCCAGAACGGCACCACAAACAGATATCTCTGTTCCATTCAGGAGACAAGCCTTCCCTGTGATACTCTCTTCTTTTGGTATCAAAAAGTATAGATTTTCTCTTCTTATACCAATTATCATCAGTCTCCAACTCCACAAAATGTTCCCCTTCCAATGAGATGGAAAGACATGCTACACAATAGTTTCTTGTTTTGTACTAGAACTTCACAGACATCTACATGTTCATTGAAAACAGCAGAAGATTCCTCAGAAATTGATACATTTCTGAACGCACGCCCGATCCGAGCCCCAAATATATCATCTCTATAACCCAGACGAAAAAGATATGCAGAGGTTAGAAGCACCAAAATTCTTATCTCTCAGTAAATTTCAACTTCATCATGAGCTCGTCATACATAAATTCCTTCCTAACTACAAAAAGGCTCTGTTTTAGTTTGGACAAAGTTGAATGTTTCAAAATGATACCTCTATCAATCATCTCATTAGCATACTTGACTGCTTCTGGCAACCTCTTTTGATCTTGGAGCCCTACAATCAAGAAATTAGCAATCTCTTCAAGATCAGATTCATAAATTTTAACCATACATTTCCATACTTTTATGGCCCCATTTGGGTCTTCATTTTCAATGTAAATCCTGACTGCTGCTTTACAATTAGCATGGCTTGGAACAAACTCATTTTTAATCATTTCATCAAATATACTTGAAGCCTCTCTCAATTTCTTTTCCTTTAACAAGTACCGAAATAACAAATTGTAAGTTTCCAAATTCGGGAATGTTCCATAAGATATCATCTCATCTAACACCCTTCTCGCTGCATCGGCGTCGTTTTGATGGCAACATAGAACAATCATCGAATTGTACATATGTGTATCAGGCTGAAAATTAATACTCTCTACGATTTCATTCCAAAGATACTTCCCCGCTTTGACATCGCGATTCTTCGCACACTCATCAAGGGCAAGCTTGAAAAACTTAAATCCCGGATAGCACATCTTATCTTTCAACCTCTTGAAGGACATCAATGCCTCGTGCAGCCCATTGGGGTCCTTGAGCAATACACATAAAAAGGAATTATAAGCAGGGGTATTGGTGGGATCCCAACCAATCTGTTCTATCATCTCTACAAAAGTTTGTCTGGCACAGACTATATTTCCTTCACTTTCCCACCCTTCTAATACAATGGCATAAGAATCAGGGTCAGGCCTAATTTTACCTTTGGCTATTTGCAAAAACTCATCAGCATCCTTGGTGTTTCCATCCCTACATATAGCACTTAGAAGTGAATTCAATGCCACTACATCACGAGGACAACCATAACGATCCATAACCTCAAATGACATAATGGCATCCTTAACACGATTAGCAACGATATAACTACTAAACACAGAAGCAAAAGTAGCCAAAGAAATCAATCCTTCGTTCTTCATCGATTTCATAGCATCCCACATTGGTTCAAAATGTAAATTCTTACCCAAAATGTCGACGATCAAATTCCACGCATAAGGACTGTGTTGGTCGTTGAGTTTCCGGCCGGACCACCGGAAGAACTTCATGGATGATCCCGGAAACTTGTAAGATAATTTCAGAACGTCTTCTACATCTTCTCGACTAACCTGAACGCCGGTCTCTTCCAGAACGATTTCGAGATCAATCGATGAGGCGTTGGCGATGATTTCACATAGTAATTTAATCTTGAAGGGCAAATTAGGGAAGTCGAGATACGAAACGAAATGCGGGGTTTTGCTCCTCGACGGTTCCGGTGAGGGATTATTGAACCGAGGGTGAGAGATTGAGGTTGAGCGAGTGGGAGTTCGAGCAGAAGAAGGGGAAGATGAAGATTGATGCTTCTTGCTTCGTTGGTGGCCATTGTCGGAGAGTCGTCTTTTGTTGTTCTCTCCCATGAATGTAGGAAATATTAGGAGAGTGAAAAAGCTGAACAACACGGAGAGACCAGAATCAGAGAACACAGCGATGGCGATTGTCAGTCCACTGTAAATCCATAGAAGAAAAATTGAATTTCAGTTGTTTTAGGGTTTGGTGGGGAAGAACTGAAACAGGGAAGAAGCTAAAAGTAATTAAGAAAAAAAAATGATATTATAAATAATTGAATTCAAATATCAATATGGATGGGGATTTTTACCTGCGAAAAATAAGATTTTACCATTTTACCGATTTTTCTTTTTAACTTTTGTAACGTTACAAGTTAAATTAGGGCTTATGAAGTATGATTCCAATTGACCCATATTTGATTTATTATGTTTTTTTTAGAATTTTTTAATAAATATTATATTGAAAATTGTTTTAAAAAAATAATAAACGGAACAAAATTACTTGAGGAATCTTAGCTTCTGATCCTCGCAAAAATGAATAGAGAATTTCGTGGAAATAAAAAGTGAAATAGGTAGCCGAGATGGAAACGAGGAAGGATTCTCCATCTTCACAGTCTCATCTATACTAATTCTAATCTCGAACATACTTAGTTTACTTAAAACAAAAATGGTAACGGCCCAGATCTACCGCTAGTAGATATTGTCATTTTTGGGTTTTTTCTTTCAGACTTCCCCTTCAAAATGGGTCTGCTAATAAAAGTTTTCACACCCTTATAAATAGTGGTTTGTTCTCCTCTCAACCAATGAGGGACATCACAAAAACGTGATTACATATTGAAGAAAATGAATAAAATAAAATAAAATAAAATCTTTCTATTATTAAAAAGGAAAAAAAAAATTAATTACATGCTACTTATAAAATATTAAAAAGAAATTATAATTTCATTAAATAAGACTTATTTTTTGTTTTGAATTATGGTTTAAATCATATTTGACGTAAGGATATTTAGTTTTTCATTATGTTTTAGCAATATTTGACTTTTTATTATAGACAAATATCATGTAATGGATTTGATTTTGTAAATGATTATGAAGAGAGAATTTCACCTCGAGTTAAGTATGATGGTTTTAGCAAATATTCTCATAAAGAATGGTACATAAATGAATCGATCGCATCTAAATGAGAGTGACCATGAGTATACGATAACTAAGAAATGTATGAAAGAATTGAAAGTTACTAGTTATATCGATAAAATGCATTTTATTTTTCGGTGGTTCAATCATAGTTTTCACTCTTAAAAAGAAACTTCATTGGTCGAGATAGTTTTCACGGTTAAGAAAAGATAAGTAACGTGACCATATTGCAAGAGATGTTGAAAAATGTGGTAGTCAGATTAAGTTGAAATTAAATATTTATTTTAAAAGTTATTAATGATATTTTAAAAAGAGATTAAAAATCTTTATTTTTTTCATCACCGACAGACCAAATGGGGGGAATGGAATCTGATTCGGGTCAACGGAAGGGCCAACACAAATGCCTTCAAAACATTTGTTTTTTAATACCCATCATTATCACATTAGGTAACCTTTACATATAATGCTCACAATTTCTCCTCACCCTCGGTCCCGGTCCCACTTTTAAGAACAACCACGTTCTACGTTAATATGATACTATTCACTTTGAGTATAACCTCTCGTGACTTTACTTTTAGTTTATCCAAAACACTATAATAAAAATTGTGTGATTCTTTTTTTTTTTAGGGTTTAAGGTTTTGGGTAAAGGTTTATATTGATGACTTCAAGTTGCCCGGTAAAAGAATGCATTAAATTACTCTCTAAAATATATATGGTTCAGTTGACTATATATAACTTTAATATATATAACCGTGGTGTTTTACTGTACATATTGTTTATTATATATGATCATTGACTTTATATGTCATTTACCATTTACTATATATAGTTTTACTATGTATAATCATTGAGTAAGTTGTAAATAAACAGCAGACTCCATAACCCAACAAACCGATGTAATTGAGGCGAAGTTTTTTTCCTTAGGGTCTTCTTAACAATCCCGAACTTTCCAACGTGAAGGGTATGTTTTGTTTCTTGACACTCTCTTTCTTTGTTAGGTCAACATATTTTAAAAAAAAGAATCGAAACTCGATAGGAAAACAAACAACTCTGTCCTTCCTGGTTACGTCTTAGAAAGCACAAACGAGCCACATGCAAATAAAACGCTTAATTATATCTTTAAAATTGAACAACCGAGAGGACATATAATAAAATAAATAATTCAATTATATGGAACCAAACTTTTGTACATATGTTATTAGATTTTTGTTTAGTGTATGTAGCCAAAGTCTAAGCATGAAGGGGACATGAAATTATTTATTGAATTATTTATTTTTATTTTAGCCAAAGTCTAAACATGAAGCAAGGGAGGAAGGAGACCATGATGTAACACATTACAAAATATTAATATAGGAATCTCACTTTATTGGTAACAATACTTTTAATCTTATTTTTAAAAATTCTATAAAAATAAAATTTATTTTATTTTTCAATTATTTATTTTCTAAAAATTTTTATTGATTGAGTGGTAGATTTTAATTTAATGTTTGCAAATATATAAAAAAATATTTATTATATTAAGATTTTACTTAATAGACCACTCGAACCAATCCAATTCAAATATTTTATAGTCGATTTGGATTAGGTTTATTAATTTCAAACAGGTTGTTTCACTCGAAAAAAATTATATAATTAATTAATTATGTTTAAAAAAAATAGTTCAAACTCAACTGAGCTCAAATCATATAAATATCATTTAAACTTTAGTTTGAAGTTATTGAATAAAATTAAAAAAAATAAAAAAAAAAGAACAGAAGACTGTGTTGGTGGTAAAAAAATATGAATCTGTTTATCAGACAGATTTATTGAGGGATCGAGTTTATTTAATATTTTTGTTATAATTTTATTTTATTTTTTAAAATGGAATATTCATCATTATTTTTTTGTTGTTCAATCTTTGTGAAAAAAATAAAAATAAATAAAAATGTAAAAAGTGTATTATCATTAGTAATTAACTTTTTCCATCAGTAAAGTTGTTCGAATTAGTGGCTAATTATGATATAATTATGAGTTTGGAATAAATATTCATCGATAATAAATAAATAAATAAAAGGTTAAAAAAGATTCATTTTTTAAAAAATGTATTTGTATTTAGGTTTAAACGGTCGTATTTCACGTTTTTTGTATTAAAGAATAAATATATATCTTAACTAGTTGAATCCCGTTAAAATTAGCTCTATTATTTAAAAACTATATAATGGTTGAGGTTGATGTCAAACTAATAAAATTAACGAGAGAAACAAAATTAAAAGTTCATAACTTGGATCAAACTTATATTTTAACCGAAATGATAAACAATATCACACGATCTGGCTGAAACCAATATAAATCATAACGCACCCACCAATTAATTATGGTATATATTGTACACTAAGAGATCAGGAGATGGAATCTTTATTTGTAATTAACTATTGTTAGTTTGGTTCCTTTAATTGGTTCATGTTCTTGTATTTATTTGTGTTAAATTAGCGTTTTGTTATTCAATCTCTTGTTCTCTCGGAGGCGCGCGCACGCATAAGAACCATGAGCCCTCTGGTTTGATATGAAATTTGATTCCATTTTGAAGGTAAAGCAAGTGAGCTACCCCATATTCACCAATTCCAAGAGGGGCCTAAACGATGGCTGCAATCCATTCTTCCATTTCTTTGATTAATGTTCATCAATTCATATTCTCCTCCCACCATTGAAGCAAAGCTAAAGCAGGCTTCAATTCTTTCCACTTTTCTCTCTCTTTTTGCACTTCTCTTTGTGGGAATCTGTGATTTTGTGTTCTTTATTTTTTGGGGTTTTTTCGATTTCTGTGATTTCTTTGAGATCTGCTTCAAAATGGGTTTCTCCCTCTGTACTTGTTCTAACCCAAGGGAATCCCCTCTTGCGTTAGATCATCACCATCGTCAGTATAATGAGGTTAAGATTAGAACCCTTTTGAGAAAAATGATTTGGGAACGTGGGTTTGCGTGTATTCTTCCTCCTGCTTGTTTTCGCCGCAAGAATCAGGGCATTCAAGATGATGAACACCCAAATGTGGAAGGGAAAAACGAGAATCTAGAGCATAATAAGGCATGGTTGCTTGCGGAATCTGGTGCTTGCGGTGGGGAGTTGTTTAATTCTGATCCTCAGTCGGTTCATTCATCTTTTCGGTTTAGTTTTTGCTCTCAGATTGAGCTTGAAACTATGAACATCGCCTCTTCTACACCTCCGGCGACTGTTTTGATGGTGAATTTGGATAATGGAATGATGGCTGAAGCTCTCAACAAAGAATTGAAATGGCGGAGGATTGAATCGCTTGAAAAGAGCATTTCCCCTGTGGCTCATACCTTGATTAGATTCAGCTTCCGGGAAATTCTTTCTGCAACACGTAATTTCTCAACAGGTACTCTCATAATCAATGACCCTTTTCGTTTTTGAACCAAAATTTTGTTATGTAATATTGAAGTTTCTTCAATGTTCTTGAATGTGGTAGGCAGAGTTCTTGGACGAGGGGCATTGAGCTGCGTGTTCAGAGGGAGGGTTGGGTTTTTGAGAACTTCTGTGGCAATCAAACGTTTAGACAAGGAAGATAAAGAATCAACGAAGGCATTCTGCAGAGAGTTGATGATTGCTAGCTCTCTTCAGAATCCTTTTATAGTTCCTCTTGTTGGGTTCTGCATAGATCCAGAAGAGGGTTTGTTTTTGGTTTATAAATATGTTTCTGGTGGAAGCTTAGAAAGACATTTGCATGGTATGAGTTCTTGTTCTTGTGTTCTTGATTGCTTGAAATTTAGTGAGTTTTTTTGAGATTCTAACAGGATAGCCATTGCAGATAAGAAGAAGAGGGGAATGAGGGGTTGCTTGTCACTTCCTTGGTCGGTGAGATTCAAGATTGGTATTGGAATTGCTGAGGCTGTGGCATATCTTCACAATGGGACTGAAAGATGTGTGGTTCATAGAGACATTAAGCCTTCAAACATCCTTCTTTCATCCAAGAAAATGCCAAAGGTGAAAGAATTTTGTTGATTTTGTTTGGATATTCGTTTGGTTGTTTGATGCGCAACAAAGGAAAGAGATAGGGTAGAGAAATAGAGTGTGAGATCCCACATTGGTTGGAGAAGAGAACGAAGCATTCCTTATAAGGGTGTGGAAACCTCTCCCTAGTAGACGCGTTTTAACACCGTGAGGCTGATGGCGATAATGGGCCAAAGCGGACAATGTCTGTTAGCGGGGAGCTTGGACTGTTACGAGTGACATCAGAGCAGACACTGGACCGTGTGCCTGCCTCCAAGGAGGTGGATTGTGAGATCCCATATTGGTTGGAGAGGAGAACGAAACATTCCTTATAAGCATGTGGAAACCTCTCCCTAGTAGACTCGTTAAAAATCATGAAGTTGATGACGATATGTAAAGGGCCAAAGCGGACAATGTTTGCTAGCCCCCGCTTGGACTGTTACAAGTGACATCAGAGCCAGATATTGGACGGTGTGCCAGCGAGGACGCTGGGCTCTCCAGGGGGGTGGATTGTGAGATCCTACATCGGTTGGAGAAGAAAACAAAACATTTCTTATAAGGATTGGAAACAAAACCGTGAGGCTGACGACAATACATAATGGGTCAAAGCGGACAATGTCTACTAGCAGGGGGCCTGGACTGTTACAAGTGACATCAAAGCAGACACTGGGTGGTGTGCCAGCGTGAGGATGCTGGCCTCCAAGGGGGTGGATTGTGAGATCCCACATCGGTTGGAGAGGAGAACGAAACATTCCTTATAAGGGTGTGGAAACCTCTCCCTGGCAATACCTGCTAGCGGTGGGCCTGTGTTCTTACATAGAGAGAAACAAATCAAGTCAACACTCAAGATAATCTAAATGATCTCTTCAAATAAGTCTGATTACCAAGTGTTAACCTTTGTTCTTATTCATCAATTGCTTGCAGTTATGTGATTTTGGGTTAGCAACATGGACTTCTGCTCCATTCGTGCCTTTCCTTTGCAAAACTGTCAAAGGAACATTTGGGTATGAACTCATTCTTGAGATATTCTAACGTAGGGGAAGGATGATGAGAATCTCTCACCTTCCACGTTCGTGTTCCTTTTCGATTTACAATTTTCGATCTTATTTGTAGTTACCTAGCTCCCGAGTATTTCCAGCATGGGAAAGTATCAGATAAAACGGATGTCTATGCTCTAGGAGTCGTGTTATTGGAACTCATAACGGGCAGGAAACCGATCGAAGCAAGAACACATGGAGAGGAGAACTTGGTTCTATGGGTAAGTCATTATATCACTCTAATAATTTCATCTAGTTTTGTTGGACTAGTGATTCTCTTCTGCACAAAGTCATATGTAATAGAACATCGACTATGCTCGTCAGTTACCTTTGTAAACGAGCTAAAACAGGTCTCTCTATAAGTTTGCCTTTTGTCTCGCTGCGAATATTCTAGTATTATGTAATTAGTCAAATCGTCTGAAGCATAAACAGAACCACCTTTGTTCTAAAAGCCTAGCGAGTTAAGCAAGTTCCTTTTTTTCTAAAGAGGTCATGACTGACTTGTTTAGTACCGCTAACTATTATAGGAGTTCCCCATCTCGCATCCAAGTTGATATAATGTGATTCATATACCGAACTGTACTCCACGAAACCGTAGTACGCCATGTTGTGTTCATCGGTGCAGTCTATAGTAGATGTTGTAATTTTCTTCATACTATAGAATAGAGTAGTCTTCTAACTTCAAAAAACTTCATATTTTCCTTCAGGCAAAGCCATTATTGCAGAAAGGGAAAGCAGCAATTACCGAGCTGCTCGATCCACTGGTGGCATGCACGACGAAGAATTCGAATCAAATAATTCAAATGATCGAAGCTGCTGCTGCCTGCATTACCAGCGAAGAATCGCGCAGGCCCGGGATCTTAGAGATCATTGCAATATTGAAAGGTGAAGAACAGCCTATGCCTTCCAGATCAAAGAGGTCAGGTTTCTTGGGGCATGGATGTGTCACTGATAGCTATTCTCAGTTTCAAAATACGAACAGCGAGATGATGACGGGTCATTTGGCGTTGGCCATGGCGGGACTTACCGAGTTCGAACAAGATGATTACCTCTTCTGTCGTTAAAAAGGTTGCAAAAACATGCGATGAGCTACTGAAATAAGGAGTGGTTTTCTTGACTTTGATTGCTTGTAGATCTGTGTAGTTGGCTGAATCATTAACATTAGAGTTTTGAAAGAGTGGTGAGACTGTAAATAGGCTCATTTTGTACAGAACACTTCCATGTATTTTTCCTCATTTTCCATGGAGGAAATATTATTAATCTTCATTGAAAGATTCATGTTTTATACTATATGTTAAGGAGATCAAAAGTTTTATATTTAGTAGATGACTCAAGAACTACATAAACTCGGGTTTTATAAACTAGAAATGTATTCGATAGAGGGGAACGAAGCATTTCTTATAAGGTATGAAAATCTCTCCCTAACATATTGCATTTTAAAACCGTGAGTTGACAGCGGCGAGATGATATGTAACGGTTCAAGCTAACAAGACACATTTTAAAATCGTGAGCCAAATGACCACTCCATGAGACATTTAAAAACGGTGAACTGATGGCTATATGTAACAGGTCGAGCTGTTACAACCACAACTGGTATCACCAGCGTTCCCAACGACAGTGAATTGTGAGATCTCACGTCAGTGTAACAGGTCGGGCTGTTACAACTGGTATCGCCAGCGTCCCCAACGACAGTGGATTGTGAGATCAGATCTCACGTCACGGGGCTTGGACCGCTCCAAATGGTCAAAAGCAAGTTATACTATGGTTTTGGATGAATTATTGTGAAGTGGTTGGTTGAGACAGATTCAAAGAAGTTGCAGCTTAACATCCAAAACAATATTTCACTATGCAAAATGTTCCAAATCAAGAACGACAAGAAAGATACATTTTTAAGAAAAAAAAGAAGAAAGAAACATAAACAGAACAAGAAATCAAACGAACAAAAAGAAGCGTATGAAAACATTATCTAGAAAATCTTTGCAACATCCTTGACTAATCCACGGTTGGCAAGAGCGAAACTTGTGAATTCTTCATACGAAATGAACCCGTCGCCATCAGTATCGATCTCAGCCATCATCCGATGAACTTCGTCGTTGGTAACAGAGCCAAGTGTTTTCAATGATTCCCCGAGCTCGGTTGAAGAGATCTTACCATCGCCATTGGTATCAAAACGCTTGAAAATACGGTCACGGTCAACTTTGTCTTGAGCATCATCAGACATTATGATGTATCAAAAAAGCTTTGTGGTTTGAGAAATTGGTGAGTGGAGACAGAGACGTTTGAAGAAGATGGTGAGTTATATAAAGAGCAGAGTTTATGGAGATTAAGGTGATCCTCAAATGTCGGATCATAGAGTTCAGATGGCCAAAAGAATGAAGAACTTGCAACGAATTTTGCCTAAATAATGATTTTAACATCACAGAACATTCAAAATCACCGTGGAAAAAGAAATGTAGAACTCGCAATTAATTTTCCTCCTCAATCATCTCAATATTCTAATTCGTACTCACGGACTTGATCCAGCCCTGGCGTGGCGATCTTTCCTTCCAGAGATTTCTCAACAGAAATCGAAATTGAAGGACAGAGCTCGGTGAAGTTGTTTCCGCCGTTTGTTGCTGCGGCGGCAATCAAGGTATGCAGTCTCCGGCACTGATGCAAGCGCTCGCATTACGGCTAACTCTCAGTATTTGGTCTTGATCCAGTGGCTCTGGCGAACTCGGATGAAATCGTTAGGGTTCGTCCCGGTTCATCTAGGTTTGAATGCACCCTAAAATCTTGAGTTGTTCTAACCGAGCGAAATTCGGATTTTGTAGACAACATCAGATTGAGTTAGCAAATATTTTGGAAAACGTGAGTGAAGAAATAAGTTCAAAATAATTGGAAAGAAAACAATGTTATAAGCTAAAGCAATTAGGCAACAATAACGACTTTGATAGCATACAATTCGAGTAGGAGAAAGAGACAACTAGTCATATCTCTTATAGTAAAATTTTTGGTCATTTTAGTCCGGTCGGGTGTCGGGTGTGTAGACATGATTTTGGTAGACGTCATACACATATTGGGATTTGGAACGAGCATGCGACCATGGACAAACATGACCATACATTTGACACACTCACACTCAACGATCACACACTCACAAGATAATTTGTCATATCGATCCATCAAATTCTCAACAAACGTCACATACCTTTCAACTGATCTTCCCTTATATAAACTAAGCGAAAAAGCTAAACACTTTCAAGTATCGGTGTAACTATGGAAAAGAAAAGAAGTATTCTATCACGTCAGAAGTTGCTTAAAGAGGAAGAAAAAAAGAGAACATAAAGATATAAAGAATAAAATATAGAATTCTTTTATATATCATGATGTCAAGTTCATATTACGAAGTATCTATCACATATCTCTTTATATACATGAGTACACGTAATGAGTATAAACGAGTACCCAAATGAGTATGTCTAGATATATTATTTGAAACAGCTACACCAAAAGTGTGTACCGAAAACTCTAATATTCTTCATAATTCCTTTTTTCCTTGATTAGATTTCAACTTTTCCCTTTATGAATAATTTTAATCTTCAACTATATAAAACCTTTGCCTTTTTAACGTCTTCTTTTAGTTTGGTTCGTGCATCTAAACCATTCGAGAAGAATAAAACAGCTCATATTACACTATGATATTAACGACTACCTAAACATATATTTATTGTCATTGTTTCTTATAAAAATATTTACGCGTAACTTTTCACATTCTTTTGACACCATGACAATGATGGTAGGACATTTGTTGCAATTCAGCAAACAGTTCAATCATGTAAATATCTTGGTTTATAAATAAAGAATATTCTCTCCATTAGTATGAGGCTTTTTGAGAAAGCCCGAAGCAAAGTCATGAAAGCTTATGCTTAAAGTAGACAATATCATATTATTGTAGAGAGTCGTGTTCATTTGTACATATGGTCGAACCTCATTTAGTGACATGACAAAACCCCTCAACTACCAAAAGAAAAAAAAGGAAGAAGAATGAAATAATAGGGAATTATTATTGATCTAATCTAAAGTCTTTTCAAGCTCTTTAATTAGGGATATCTATGAGGTTAATTGGATGAATGAATGATATTAATTTAATGGGAAATGGGTATTAACTCTTAACCTCTTCAAACCCATGCCTCTACTTCTTCTCATCATTTCATTACCAACCTTCATAATTACATAAGAGATAAACTTGTTGCTTTCCAAAAAGAGATTAACTTCAAGATTGCAAAAAGGTTGAAGAGCTCGTAATGATTTGAAAGGATGCCGAATTATGTGCTCGTTGCTTTACCTTCAAGATTGTTTTGAGGTCAGATGTGATATCTAAGTAAATGAGGTGTATATGAATGAATCAAGACCACATTCGAATCAAGACTACAGTTTAAAGATAGGATGACTAAGAAAAACTTCAAATTAAAGTTACTACCTCCGTTAAAAAGGTTAAAAAGGTGCACCTTCTTTAAAAGACGAGAAGTAGGTAACGTAACCATGTCGCATGGAAATGTTGGGCCATCAAATTTTGAATTTTGGGCCTGAGTCATTACATTAAATTTAAGCTTTTATTCTCGAGATTGGTACATTAAATTCTCCAAAGTCATTATATTAAGTTAACTACTTCTTGCTTTTAAGAGTGAAAAGTATCCCCACGTACCAACACAGGTCCTTTCAACATCATTTGTTCTCACTCATATGCATTGTAGGAAAATTTATGGATAATAGAATTGTTCTAGGAAAAACATGTTTAACCATGACGTTCCTATAATTGAGCCATCGAAAAAGAAGGTGCATCTTGGGTATCCTATATGTTGGATAAAAGTTCTACATGGGCTAATTTTGGGAATGATCATGGGTTTATAATCAATGAATACTCGAGGTTATACTCGAAGTGGACAATATCATACAATTGTGGAAAGTCAAATAAATAGCATTTATTTTGTACTACCAAACATGTAATCTTATTAAATACGCACATAACATAAAGTTTTCAAACATTACAATCTAAAACTATGAAACTATAATTTAAATTTCATAAAGAAATAATATCCAATCAACCAATAACATTCAAATTAAAATTAAATCAAAGAGGAATGGCACACTTAGGAAAATACTTTCATAATTTCTTACATTTCTTGAAGAATTAAGGTTCACCATATTTATTGTAAGAAGGCAACCCCCAAAAATATAGTGTCATTAATCCACCCTTCAAATACAAAGGCAGAAAAAAAAAACCAGACAACGAGCCACGGCCACAAACTCACTGGGTCGACTCATCGGCGTCGAGCTGCCAAGCTGACGTGGCGATCAACGGTCGAGTGTGCCAGCCAAGCATCAAACACCCATTATTCTCTTCCACCCTGTACCCCTCTCCTCCAGCAAAGAGGGCCAAAAGCATGCTAGCTTGCTTAAACGCGTTCGAACCGAGATGAACCGGGTTGAACCCAGCTGATTTCATCCGGGATCGCCACTGAGTCAAGGACTCGTGCCGTTCAACTCGGTCTGATCCTTCACAAGCCACTACATTACAAATCTGCCTTCCTAAATAAACTTCAGACAACAACACGTCCTCACTTGCCGGTTCAAACCCGGTCGAGGAAACCTCGAGCGAGTCAAACATGTTTGAGTAATAATGTAACGCCTCGGTGAACCGGTCCATGAAAACCCTCCCGTTGTGGTTTGCTTCTTGTTCTACAATCGTCACGATCTTCGGCTTCGTTGCTTTTATCGATCCCAAAACCTTCTCGATCGCTCCAGGCCGAGCCAGTAACCGGTGGAGATCGAACACCGAATTCACCGCCACTGCCTCCACCGACGCCAGCCGAATCTCCAGAGCCGCCGGATTGAGATTAGCTAGGTTACTACACACGATATGATTGAACTCAAACTCCACACCAATGGCCTCCGCCATCTGCGCTAACTTCCAACCGACTTGCTGCAACGAATCGGCCGTATTACCTTGCTTCGGCGGGCCGATTCCAGTCAATCGAAACGTCGGCGGACCTCCTGGCCGTAATGCGAGTGCTTGCATCAGCGCCGGCCATTGCATACCTTGATTGAGACTGAAATCGATGACATGAACTCTCGACGCCGTCGCGAATGCTTCGAGAATCGCTTGATTCGCAGTGAAATGCGCGAATTTCAGATACGGACAGGTCTCGTAAAAGTGCATCTGGAGGATATCGGAGTATGAAGAGTAAAATCCGTCTTGAGGAGAGTAGATTCTGTAAATCCGACGAGCTAGGGCTTCGGCAAAATACGTCGCGACTTTCCTCATCGCTCCGGCTTGCGATACCGCTAGTAATCCGATGTGCTTCACCAATGCCTCAGCGATCTTCATGTTTTCTTGCTGCACGGCCTCGGCGCAGGCCATTAGAGTGTGAACGAGTTGAATCCCTGCGTCTTGCGAGCCCTCCTCCACAACCACCACCGGCCGAGAAGGTTCAGAGACAATCCCGGCCGCTGCCGCAGCAACAAACGGTGGCGATGGCGGCAACAAATTCACCGAATTCTCTCCTTCAATCTTCACTCGCTTGCGAGAATTAGTTTCGAATTCTGTTGAGTAATCTTTGGAAGGAAAAACCGCTACGCCAGGAATGGCGCTGAGATCGTACTCAGAATCATCGTCGTACAACCGCGAAGGCCTGGATTGAATCCGTGAGTGAGGATTGGAATATTGAGAAGATTGAGGAGGAGTAGAAGTAGAAGAAGAGTTGAAATGGTTGGGGGTATTATTGAATTCAGAGAGCATATTTTGAATCCAGGCAGAGAGATCAGAAGGATTATAATGAACAGTATCAGAAGCCAGATGAGAAATCCCATCTTCCTGAACAGATCCCATCACCATCTCCAGTTGCTCCATCTTCTGCGCCACATCCGCCATGTCCGACGCTCTAACCTTGTAGCCCAAAACAGCAAGCAACTCATCCATTCCGCCGCCGACCTCTTGCTCCTCCTCCTCCCACATCTTCACTTTCCCACTCAACACTGAAGAACACTCCCCTTTCCCAACCCCCTGCCTTCCGCCGCCGTAGACACCACCACCAGTAGATCTATCATCCTCAAGCTCCCTCTTCATCTTCATCTAAACAAAACAAAAACAAAAAAAAGAATCCAAGCAGAGAAAACAGAAAAATCAAAACTCAACCATGCAAATGGAAATGGTCTTCAGAATATTGAGATTTTTTCTTCCTCTTCTTTTTCTTCCTCTTCTTTTTCAGAGAGAACATGATAGGAAAAGGAAATACAGAAGGAGATAAGGAACAACAGAGGCCATCATAATAGAAGCCAGTTCTTTTTTTTCTCTCCTTTTTTTGGGGGGGAATTATAATTTTGTTCTTTTTTAATTACAAAATTATTCCTTCCATTTTAGATTTATTGCAATTTCAAATTTCAAAACTACCAATTATAATTTAATGAACATTTTTAATTTATAATTATTAGAAAACTGAGAAAAGGCGTAAATATGAACCTTGTGTGTGAGGATTAAAATTTATGGATAATTTTTATTTCCAAAATTGAAAAAATATATATTTTTAAATAAAACTATTAAATAAGAGTTTAAATTTATGGAAGGTGTTTTAATAAAATAATAATAATAAATGGAAAGAAAATCATAAGGGTTGTGTTAAAGGGCTTTCAAATTAATGGCAACTTTGATGCCAACTGCGGGGTCCAGCAATGCAATGCTGCTTCCTTTCTACATTACTCTTTCATTTTCGTCCACCTTCACTTCTCCTCTGTGTTCTTCACGCGCTTTATTTTATTTTTATTCTAATTCTAAAATAGAATAGGATCGATTAATATATGTTTCTCCCGCTCTCACGAGAATTGTGTGGGAGTTATCATCAAACGGAGTTCTTGAACAACCATACCAAC